ATAGCATAAAAATACAAAACGAAAAAAAGAAAATGGATAATTTATTAAGTGGACTACTATGCAGCTGTCAAAATTAATGGTGATTTATAGATGTCCATGATAAAGTGTTAAAATAAGAAACAAAAGGAAAAATTGTGTACAGTGATTCCCATTTTCAAAAAAAAGAAAAAAGAAAGCAAACTCTGTGGCCCTGGCTTGATAGCTCAGTAGGTTCCAGCATCATCTCCATATGCCAAGGTTGTATGTTTGATTCCCAGCCAGAACACATAACAATAATCAACCAATGAATGCATGAATAAGTGGAACAACAAATCGATGATTCTCTCTCCCTCTCCTTCTTTTTGCTCCCTCTTCCTCCCCTCCAGTCTCAAAAAAGAAAAAAGAAAAAAACCATATATTTATAGATATATAGGTTTAGATCAGCATGGGGAGAAGTCTAAAAGGACATAAAAACTTAGCAGTGGTTATCTTCATGGGTGAGATTAGAATGGAGAGGACTTTTCACTTTATGTGCTTCTCAATTGCTTGAATTTAAGAGCATGCATACCTTTGTAATTTAAAAAAATGTTTAGAAAACATAATAAACAAAACTAAAATAAAAATGGGAATAAAAGGTGCATATATATATAGTATTTTCTCAGGAAAATGAGGATATGGTTCCTATAGTCCCTTTTAGCTGGTCATACATATAACATACATATGAATTAGATTACATAGTCTATCTAGAGATTCTATCTATATACATATTATGTTTGTCTACATGTGTGGATGCTGAGTTGGGAATCAAATCATTTTAAGTTAAGTTTCATTTATATTTGTTTTAAAAACAGGAAGGTAAATAACTAAAGTTTCTTCTCATTTTTGAACTCAAGCAAGCAATTAGTCAAGTTCTGGTGAAGCTCCACTGTACTTGACATTTCATCCGGCAGCCTGTAGTCTAGTCTATTACCTAGTCAGATTTTATATGTGAATATATATGAAGTCCATTTTACCTATAGAAAAAAAATGTTTTGTACTGACTGGCATAGCAAATATATCAGGAACCTGAATGGCAGCAATTAACCTGAGTCATTTTTACTATATATCATGTAAATACAATGTTGGATGTTTAAAATCACAAAACAGTGAAAAGAATGACATTATCTCAACATCACAGGCAGACTCAAAAAGAGTAAGGCTTTAATTTTAAAAAAAGGTACAAAATGCAAGACTTTACCCAACTGAAAGCCTGTTAAATTTCCTTACTCTCAGTTTAAAGCTAGGAAACCAGCTCTCTACATTTTAATTATCTGCAAACAAACACATTTTGTGGGCTGAAGAAACAGATACCTATAAAGACACTTCTGCCCTTGGTTGTACAAAGGAACTCTGCCTGCCAATATCATATGCCAACAGATATTTCTAATCCTTCCCAGACTTGCTTTGATCCCTCTATTTCCGGTCCCCTTGGGAGAGGCAAAGCAGCAATCTGCATGAATCCTCCATGGTGAGCTCTCACTAATAACTATTATTTCACTTTCTATCTTACATATTATCAATTCTCACCTTACAACAATCCCCCTAATATAATCACCCTTCTTTCATCCATCCGCCAACCCCACCCAAGCCAAACAGATCTGAGTTTTTAATAATGGAAGAAATAGTGGCTACAAGAAGGTAAACTAAGGTACATTTCGGGACATGTGGAAAATAGGAAAGGCCCTGAGAAGTGGGACAGGGGCAAGGAGATGGGCACACTGTTCCATTTGAAAACTCCCTGGCTCAGCTTCAGACAGGCAATACAATTTCACTGGTTGATCTTCTGAATCAGCCTTTGGCATCTGATTTCTATGTTGTCTTCCTCCGCAATGACAACTCAAAGTTAGTACTGAATTAAAATGACTTTGCCATAAACCACAAGATGTGAAATCAGCATCTCTTAGAATTACCACTTTTCTCCATGAAACAGAAAAGGTGAAATGAGAACAAAGATGCCATGGTACAGAATGGAATAGGTAAAGGAAAACAGACATTTAGTCCCTTAAAATAATGCATGAGTAGTTTCTGTCAGGAATTTTTTTTTAAAAAGGAATAACATGTTACATAATTTGAGTTTCATGAATCAGCAGTTTAGTCAGTAATTTACATGAATTTAAAAAAAGAGAGACAGAGAAAACATGAGGATTGGAAAAGGTAAAGTGGTTTCTGAAACAAGGCAGGTTTCAAAAGTATTTTATTCCACCCCCGTACAGAAGAACGTTGACAGGCAGATGACTCAGTGTGACTTTGAGTTCCTTACCACCTAATATCCCTCATGGCCAAGGCCATCCCATCTCCCTTTTTTCCCTTCTCAATTTCTCCCACCAGGTAATGGGCATATTTTCCTCTCTAATTGAAGCTTTTCCATCTGGAGGTCACATATTTTAGGACACAGAGAGTTATACTTAAAGGATATAAATAGTTGAAGTCTCTCTGGATTTTTTTAAAAGATGATTTACACTAAAGTAATTGCAACATTTTGAAAAACAGTAGTAACATCAGATGCTTCAAAAAATTACAATACATAGGATCATTGTGTTTGAACTTGACTGCATTCTAAGTAGTTTAATTGAGTTCATGGAAAACCTATAGTGATTTGTAGTCCTTAAAAATGACCTTAACTGAGCAGGGTAGGTAAGAAAGTTGTCAACATAAACCCTAAAACTATGTGTCCAATCTAAACTCCAGATCAGAGGGGAAAAGCAGAATATTTGAGAGAAATAATAATCAATCTATTCTCTTTTTCAAAAACCAGAGATGACAGGCCCTGGCTGGTGTAGCTCAGTGGATTGAGCGCGGGCCTGCGAACCAGACAATTGTGGTTCGAATCCCAGTCAGGGCACAGACCGGGGTTGCAGGCTGGTTCCCTGCAGGCCAGTTCCCAGCAGGGGACGCACAAAAGGCAACCATACATTGATGTTTCTCTCCCTCTCTCCTTCCCTTCCCCTCTAAAGATAAATAAATAAAATTTAAAAAAAAACAAAACCAGAGATGACAAATCCTAAGAAATGAATCCAAAGGGCAATCTCATCCCTTTTACAGAAAAATATGTGTATCAGATAGGTATTGTTTGAAATAACAGAAGGACATTGGATTAGGCCTGGATTTCTTTCAGGCACAAATTAATTAGGGTATTTAAGAGGCATATGTTTTGAAAGAGAGAGAAATATGAAGTCATTTGGAGTCATTCATTCCACAAATGTTTATTACAGGCTGGCATGTGCCAGGCATTGTCCACGTACCTGCTCTCTACTCAAGCACTGCCTCTTACTAGCTACGCAGTCCTAGCTGAAGATTTTTAACACTTCTATGCCTCAGTTTCCTCACTGTGGCTACCAACCAACCTTAAAGGTCTCTCTGAAGAGCAAATAAATATGTCTGGAAGCACTTTGTAAGCCATGAAAGTGTTGTCATTTGGCTGAATTGAATTCATGAAATCCAGTAACATCTGTTGTGCCATGAATTGTATCAGAGGAAAGTGAGCCTTTCTGCTTCCATGAGACACTTCATAATCCCATTAAATAAGGTTTAGAGTCTCATTTAATCATCTCCCTGGAAATGTAAATATATGAAAGAGAGACAGAAAGCTAGTATGATGTGCGTATCTTAACATTAAACTCATAATCAGCATAATAAAAAGAACCATGTCTATTTTTTTCTCGAATCTGACCATCAGGCCAAGGCACTCCTTTAAAGAGGGCACTTTATTCTGGAAAAATATTTTCTCTATATATCTGCAAATCACAAAATAGACACCTACAAAGTTATAAAGTTTCTATTTTATTGCGCATTTCACTTTCAACCTGACCTGTCATATCAACTGTCAAACAGATTAGGAGCAAAGCTCCTTTTAAAACCCAAATTGGGCTCCATGTAGTGGCAGTTGAAGAGGAAGTTCTGGTCTCTCCAGAGTTAGCTAACAGGGCAGTTAGCTAAGTGCAGTTAGCACGATGGAAGTTAAGAAAGCTCATCTTGAAGAAGACACTAGGGATCTGGCTGGCTGAGATTTTCAAGGAAGAGTTCAAAAAAGGGGGTAGCTCCACACTATCTTCCCCAGGGAGCGAAGAGGTGGTGGCTTGTCTTAAGGGAGTGGTAGCCAAGGGCCCAGAAGGCATCAGCAATATAAAAAAAAAAGTCTGAAACTTCCTCTCTTGTTTCTAGCTTTTACAGTGACATTGAGGAACTGAAGCACGCACAGTAGTGCTTGCTTCATTGCTAGAACCGCTATAATTTAGTATCCAAGTTAACAATTTGAGTTAATATTTATAAAACACTTAGAATGAGTTCAGCATATAGTAAGAGCTATCAAAGTGTTTGTTAAATAAATAAGGCACTTTCAGATTGGTTGGGTGACTACTCAACCTAATGGCAAAAGTAGAGAATGAAAATACACAACAGCCTAATATTTTTTTTACCTTGATAAATATTCAGAAAGTTCTCTGCATTTATTTCTGCATTGCAATGGACCCTATACCGTCTCTTGGGCAGGACAGAAATTCTATTCTTGGTTCAGAAATCACTGTGCAAAATTCAATAATAAAGAGTTTAACTCTCAAAAGACAAATTCTTTTTTCTCTTGCCAAGTAACCACCACAAAAAATGACGAAATTTAAAAAATCTCAAAGCACTTCTAGATAGTACATACCATGAGAAAACTGTGGGAATCAATAGTCAAATTCACTTGATGAATTTGACTTGATTCAATAGTTCAAATCACAGAGAACTTGACGGGTAGCAATGCACTCAAGAGTGAGACTACAGGCCAGGGGACCACAGGTTAGGGATTCCCGCTCTCTCCACTCCCGAGGCCTCCGTCCTCGCAGGTGACCCGCATCCACTTCCCACTTCAGGTGGGGTCTCCCCACTCTCCGGGTCCCCTGCCCCTCCGCTCTCTGAAGCTGTGCACGGGTTAATTAGCGATGTCCCTCCACTGACACCACTCGGGGGTGCAGGAATCAAAAAACAGGATCGGAATTCACCTCATGGAAACAAAGCGCACGAACTGTCGGAGTCGGGGCAAGGCGGGAGTACTTTTTCCTCCTGATCAACTCGGGGGTTTCTGGGCTCAGGGTTGGGGTTGGGGGGAGCCCCCAGGGCACCCGGGAAAGGCACGACTGCTCCGCGGGCAGGCTGCAGTCGAGGCCCGGGAACTGCTCGCCCCGCCCCGTCTCTCCCGCCCGGGAGCCTCCGCCGGCCGCGGGACGCGCGCGGCCCCTGCGGTCGGCTCACCAGCCCGGAGTCCCGCCTGCCCCGCACCTACCGGGCTCCGCGGTGCTGCCTCCCCACGCGGCGGGCGCCGGGCGCGGGGCGCACTCGCGCTTCCTCCTTCCCGGCAGGGCCGCCGGGCGCCGGCGTTTCCTCCCTGCCGCGTCACGGCTGCCTGCAGCTCCTTCCGCAGGGTACTCGGGCAGCCGGGCAGAGCCGAGTGGGCGGCCGACGGCGCGCTGGGAAGGCGCCGGCTCCGAGCCGAGTGTGCGGTCCGGAGTGCAGGGCGGGTGGCCGGTGCCGCGCCCCCTCTGCGGCTTCCAGCTCTGCTCCTCTTCCCCGAGGACACCCGCGAAAGGCGGGGTCCCCGCCCCGCGGTGCACCAAGTTCAGGGGACACCGGTGGATCCCGCCTAGAGGCGCAGACTCTTAGGGGTTTCCCACCGCTCAGCTTATCGTGACCGGGGTCGTGGGGCCCAAGAAGAGCGTGAGGGGGCCCGTTAAACGACCCTGGTGCGTGTGGGGAGCACGACCGCTGGACCCCCAGGAATGGCCTGGTGGGCCTGTGGCTTGGTGTGCACTCGGAACTCAGAATTCAAATAATTATCATAAGTATCGCAAAATTTAGCAAGGACTATGCTTCACTTAGCATCATTTGAAGTTTGCTACTTCATCAACAGAGTTTTTGCCCTTTGTGTTTATACAGAGTTATCACAAATTGGCCGATCCCGTGCACAGAAAAATTTTCTTTTTCTAACTCTACTTCTTTTCCCCCTCATACCTATTAATCTCCAAGTCAGATGAGAGCACATATTACAACTCCTCCTTCAACGGTTATTCTTTAAATATAGAAGTTGCATTTTAGACCCACTTATTTGTCTTTTTTAAAAATTTTATGTATGTATCTTTAGAGAAGAAAGGAAGGAGAGAGGGGGAGAAATATCAGTGTAGGGTTGCCTCTTGTGCATCCCCTGCTGGGAACTGGCCTGCAACCCAGGCATGTGCCCTGACTGGGAATTGAACAGGGGTTGGTTGTTTGTTTCCCAGACCCACAGGCAATCCACTGAGCTACACTAGCCAGGACAATTTTTTTTTTCAATCCAGGTAAGATGAAGAGAGGTACAGAAGGTGACTAGAGAACTAAGAATTACATAGGATTTTGAATTAGAGTGGGGTTGGGGGGGGTGCATTTTGCCTCACAACACTACTGCAATTCAAGTTTTATCAGATATGACTTGAAGACAGACTTAACTATTTAAAGATTTCTAAGTACATATCATGCTTCAGATTCTGAAGCCATGATCTATACTTCAGATTCTATAATTCTAGAGAATTTGCCCCATAACTGAACAAACTTCCAATGGTAATTAAAGGAACTGCAATTTATGTGTGGCTTCCTTAAATTCAGGGGGCATTTCCTTATATTTCATTTTTTAATTTTAATTATATGTTATTGATCATGCTATTACAGTTGTCCTGATTTTCCCCTTTAGCACCTCCCCTCCACCTGGGACCCTCCACTCCTTCAGGCAATCCTCACACCATTATTCATGTACACAGGACATAAGCCTTAAGTTCTTTGGCTACTCCACTTTCCATACTGTACCTTACAGCCCCATGGCTAATCTGTAACTACCTATTTGTACTTCTTAATCCCCTCCCTTCTTCACCCATTCTCACCCACCCCACTCTTATTGGCAGCCATCAAATGTTTCCCTATCCATAATTCTGTCTCTGTTCTTGTTTGCTTAGTTTGCTTTTTAGATTCAATTTTCATATATATATATATAAAACCATTTTATTGTTTATAGTTTTGGTTTTCTTCTTTTTCTTTAATAAGTTCCTTTAATATTTCATATAATAGTGGTTTGGTGACTATGAACTCCTTTAGTTTTTTCTTGTCTGGGAAGCTCTTTATTTGCCCTTTGATACTAAATGTTAGCTTTGCTGAATAAAGCAATCTTTGCTATAGTTTCCTGTTTTTCATGACTTTGAATATTTCTTGCCAATCCATTTTATCCTGCAAAGTTTCTTTTGAGAAATCAGCTGACAGTCATAGGAACTCCCCTGCAGGTAACTAACTTCTTGTCTCTTGCTGCTTTTAAGACTCTCCCTTTATCTCTAACCTTTGGCATTTTAATTATGATGTGACTTGGAGTGGGCCTCTTTGCATCTATCTTGCTTGGGACTCTCTGTGCTTCCTGGACTTGCATGTCTATTTCCTTCACCAAATTAGAGAAGTTTTCTTTCATTATTTTTTCAAATAGAGTTCCAATTTTTTTATCTTTCTCTTCTCCTTCTGGCACCCCTGTGATAAGAATGTTTGACCTCTTGAAGTTGTCCTAGAGGCTGCTTGTACTATCCTCATTTTTTTGGATTCTTTTTCCTTCTTGTTGTTTTGATTGATTGTTTTTTCATTCCTTATGTTCCAAATCTTTGATTTGATTCTCAGTTTCACCTACTCTATTGTGGTTTCCCTGTAGATTGTTCTTTATTTCAGTTAGTGTATCCTTAGTTTCTGACTGGATATTTTTTATGCTGTTGAGGTCCTCACTAAGTTCCTTGAGCATCCTTAAAACCAGTGTTTTGAACTCTGCATCTGATAGATTGCTTATGTCCATTTCATTTATTTAACTTTCAGGAGTTTTGATCTGTTCATTTGGGCCATGTTTCTTTGTCTGCTCATTTTGGCAGCCTTCCTGTGTTTGTATTAGACTTCATATCTTGGTAGTGTGGCCTAATGTATACAGTAGGTGTCCTGTAGGGTCCTGTGGCACAGCCTCCCTATCCCCCAAGCCGGGTACTAGAGGTGCACCCTTCCTGTGGGCTAACTATACTCTCTTCTTGTAGTTGAGCCTTGGAAGATCAATGGTAGGGATTTACCCAGGCCACTCAGCTACAAAGATTGACTGTGACCACTGACCACCAAACTCCACCCTCTGTGGAGGATCAGCTGTACAGGGTTAGGGTGGCGGTGCTCTGATGTGGTCTGTAGCTGTCCACTGGGTGGACTGGCTCTAAGGTTTCCTTGGTAGTGCAGGCCAAAGTCAGCCCCAACCTGTGTTTTGCCTGGGGCCACCCTGCCTGAGCTATAAACCAATTTGAGATGGCTGCTACTTGTGGTGGGCTTGAAATTCCCAGGCAAAGCCAAGCTGTGGATTTAGGCTGGCTGCCACTACTGGCAGGCCTAGGGCTCACTGAAGCTAGGTGTTTCTTGTTTGAGAGGATTTAGGAAGTCGTAAAGCATGAACCAAGATCAGCCACTGATATCACCCAAGCAGTTTGGGTGGGCCCATAAGTTGGGTGGGGCAGAGTCTCTGGGGATCTCCAAAACAGGTCAGTGTTAGCCGGGTTGTTTAGCCAGTGTTAGTCTCAGATATGGCACCAGCTTGCTCCGCCTGTTTGGGGGAAGGTTTAGAAAAGGGACAATGACCTCTGTTCACCTTGATTCCAGACACTTCAGTTCCTCCCTGTATGCCACTGGTGCCTTTCTGTGCCTTTCAGGGTGCCCTGCTACCCTGGTGCTGGAGCTCAGAGGGCATGAGTATGAGTAGGTGAATCTATGTCTGGGTTCTTTAAAAGGAACTGCTTACAGCTTCAGCAGTTTATTACACCTACTCAATCCCTGCTGGTTTTTGTAGCCAGATGTTGTGGGGAATTGTCTTCCTGGCACTGGAATCCTGGGTTGATGAATGTGTTGTAGGTCTGGGACTCCTTGCTCTTGAGATATCCCTCCCAAATTTTTATCCACCACACCTGGGTGAGGCACCAGCCTATTCTGCATCTGTACCCCTCTTACCAGTCTGGATGGATGTGGTTTCTTTAATTCTATAGTTGTCAGACTTCCATTTTACTCCATTTCTGATGGTTCGAGTGATGGTGGTTCTATATTTTAGTTGTAATTTTGATGTGGTTGTGCAAAGAGGTGATACCACATCAAAATACCACCATCTTGACTGGGAGTCCTTCCCTATATTTTAAAATGACATTTAAAAGCTTTGCCTCACAGGTAAAGGTTAGAATATTCATTTTTCAGGTCAGTTACCATTGCATGGTTTTCTTTTTAAAAAAAGAATATGAATCTAATACTTTATACTTCAAAGTGTCATAATTCTACAGTACTTTATAAACAATGCTATTCAATGGCATATGGATATAGATATAAATATAAAGTACAGCAGATACAAATCAGCACATTGCCAGTGGTCCTTTTTATATTTTCATTGTAATGTGAATACAAAGCAATCCACACAGTAAGGCACAGAGAAGCTAGAGAAGTTCCTCCCTTGTAACAAAATCAACAAGTGATCAGTGTATCTCTTAATTAAAGCCATTCACAGTGCTGAAAAATTTCTCAGCCAAAAGGAAGTTTTGTGTCAATAAACTCCCAAAAGAAATGACATCATTCTGGCTTTACAGACAAATACCTGGTTATCACCACATTTAAACTTCCTTTTCTTTTCTTTTTATTTCTTTTTGAAAAACAGACATCTGGGAACCATTACATTTCCAGAATAAATTTGTCCTCCAGCTGTGATGAACACACACACACACACACCACTGCCACTAGCACCTCTCACAACTATTTTAAGAAAAGAAGGTAGATGAGCCACATCTAAGTGATATGAGTTTTGATTCTTTACCTTTATAATCTGAGAGCTGCAAGTCAATAGCTTGACTTCTTAGGATACTAGAGGATATAAATGTATTCACAAACTATTGAAGGACTTTAAAGACATCACTTAAAATTCATTTTAAGGGCACACTGTAAGGCTGTTCACTTTGATTAATCATACCTATTGATATAGTTCATATCTCTATTTTCCATTAGTTTCCAATTTCAGGCTTATAGTCTAAAAGTTGTTGAATGTTCAGCTAAATGTCTAGTTGACGTTTATAGCTTCCTAAGGTTTTGTATAAACGAAATTTTAAAATAAAGTTTTTTGTTAGACAATGAGATCCAATATTTTGTTTGGAAATATGATTCCATTCATGCAGAAAGGGCACACATTTTGTTCATCTGTTTTATCTATAACAAAGATTATGAGTACAAGTTTTGGAATTGGACAGACACAGTTTTGAGTCATGGCTCTACTTCTTTCTAGTATGGGAAAATCATTTTACCTTTCTGAGCCTTGACTTTATCAGTATTATGAGGATGATAAGAGTAATTTTACCTCCTCAGTAAAACAGAGGTAATATTAGTGCTTATCTCATGAAATTGCTATGATGATCAAATGAACTTAGTAGACTACAGGGAACATGACATCAGTTGACCGCTATTGTCATCATTATTATCTCTAACACAGATATACAAATGCCAATGTTTTATATTTCATTTGTACTCACATAAAGAATGGTCAGATTTTAGAGTTTGGGGTTTTTTTGGTAGAAGTCCTAAAAGTAACAGAAAAAAT